ACTTAAATAAATAAACCTTCTGCTTACCTTTTCTATTGTTTATAACTATAAACGTTTCGAACTGCGTGCAACAATATGCAAATAAATAGAATCGCGAAGTTGATGTGAATAAACATGTGGCAGTTGATTGTTATTGAAATTAACCCACTAAAGTTAATTATGGAGTATTTTAGTTAAAAAAAAAAAAAGAATATTAACGTTAAAAATTAGATATCGATATATTCTAAACAAAATCCGGAAATTTCTGCGGCCAAACTGCGTATACTTATCCAAATTAAATTATCGTTCGTTAAGAGAAATGATTTACACTTATAATTGTCAAAGGTAGCAAATGTAGAAAATAATGATGATACTAATCCAATTAAATATACTTTATTTAGCTCTAAATAAATTCATTTATAATAAATATCTGAATTACAAACGTGTAACAATAGATTGTTGAAATTATATAAAAAGGTTTAATTTGAACTAAAATTAGATTAATGACGTTCATTTTAGAAAACAATGAATAAAAAGTTTTTGACCGTACTTTTTTTTCTCCACATCGAAATTGTAAATATATACTCGGCCTTGAATATTGATTGTAACTTAATCGTGTCTTTGCAAGTCGTAGAAGAAAGCTTGAAACAATTGGAATATATACTTTAATACACGATGAAAAAAGGGCACCAGTTTTATCTATAAAGTGATTAAAAAAAGTCTCTCTTTTTTATTTCTTGGATAGAACTGGAATGAACTAGATGTAATTTGAAAATTTTATACAAGTTTATTAAATTTATTTGTTTATTAATTATAATATTTCATTATAACAACTTTTTTATTACAAAAGAAGCAAGATAGACGGCAAAGAAGATTCATTCATATGGTAAACATTAAGGATCAAAATCTTATTGTTTTACAACCTTAAAAGCAATTATTAACAATTCAAGCTATCACTCAGATGAACATTCTGAATCAAACACGAAGAAAGTACAAGAAGAAAAAAGTGTAAATATTCGTCAATCCCGAAATGAAAGTTCAAACCATGTATGATAAGCAGTGCAGAATAAGTTAAATTACTTGAATATCTAAAATAATAAATAAGACTTATTTACACTCTATTAATTTAAAAATTTTATCTATAGCGTCGAAATCTTTTGCAACATGGGCGAAAGTATAAATACAAAAGTAGGGATGAAAAGGTGGTATAAGATCAATTATATGTAGAGGAAGATTCAAAACCACCTCATAATGCACCAGCATGTTCATTTCATCTTCAAAAGTCTTCGGATGCAAGTGCTATTTATTTATTTTCATGTAATTAATTGAAATTTGTATAATATTTTTTATTTGAAAATCTTTTTAGCATAAATTTATGTATTAATTTTATAAAAGATTACAAATAAATTTTGTTAAAATTATTTAAAAATATCGCATTTATATTAAATATATATTAACCATTCCATTGTAATCCATCGGAAATTCATTGTGTTCATATCAGTGTTATTATGAAATTTACCCATTTTTCTTTATTCGATTGGTGAGGGTTAGAAGAATAACAGCAAAAACAATTTAATTTGAATTCGTGTTTTTATAATTCTAAGAGAAAGGATTATGAATTGTGTATAATCAGTTTTTTACTGAAATGTTTTGGAATATTTCGATCAATTAAAAAAATCCGTCTTGATTTTGCAAGTATTTCAGCCTTTATCATTTTACATAAATAATGCGTTACCATTAATAAATGTACTGTAAAGACATTTTTACACCATTTAAATAAGTATTTAGATCTACAGATTGAGGCTTTAAAAACTTATGTAGATAATGTGTCTTTTTTTTTAAAAAAAAAATAAAAATAAAAATAAAATATATTTCTTAAAATAATCTTTTAACAATTTTATTGATAATCAATTTTAATTTATCGCAAATAAATTCTGAGATTTATTATATTTGAAGAAAAACAAACGGAAAATCAAAGATCACCTCGCGCATATAGTTTACAATATTTTGATGATAGAAAGATAATAGTTCAGATAATTCGCGTAAATGCTTAATGAATTTCTTTTGAAGGAAGTGATATTACTGCCAACAAATGGATAAGAAAAAACACATAGAATTATTGTTCATATAATCATGCGGATAACGAGCTTTAAAAAAGGTAAAGTCCCAATTATTTCTTTTGAAATCGCATGCCTAAATAGTTTCGTCTAAGTTAATTAAGGTCTTGATCAATTATTTTTTTTTTTTTAAAAAATTTTTCATATAATATCAACAAATAAATATATTAAAAAAAAAAAATAACTATAATATCTTAAAAGAAAATTATTATATTTTTAAAAAAATCACGTAACTTCCTTTATATAAGATACTTTGTTGTAAATATTTTTACTTAAAACACTTACAAAATCCATAGAATCAAAAACATTTTATATATAAAATCAATAAATACATACCAAAAGTAAAGAAGCTATTTGAATGGTCCTCAAACAAAAAATATGACAATAACAGTATTTTCTACTTAAAAGAATTCGAATTTCGCTTTCAGCCGCAGTAGACGTCATCATATTTTTACCATGATTTTTTGTGGTCGGGTGACCGGTAGATTATATCCATAAGTAAACCTGTCTCACAATTCGGATATGCCATTTACAATTGATGACGTATCCTGTGAGATCCATTAAACAAATACTCTTTCGTTTATTGGCCTTCTCGTTTATTTTGATCGTCATATTCGTTCATTGGGCAATCTTTGTTTTCTCAGCCACCAATCTTGGAAAAGTTATAAAATGGATCTCCAAACCATGTTTGTCACCTTCATTCCAAAACATTTTGCAATTTGGTATGTATCAGTATATTTTTGAAAAAGAAAACAATTGAAAGAAGGTTTAAATAAATTATTTTTAGGAATTTTATAAAAAATGTTTCAACGACGAATGATACGTCAAATGCGTAGAACTGTGCCAAGACCTCCCTCTTCACTTGCAACCTCCCTTACTTCCATCCCTGCTTCTACTTCGACAACTGTATCTTCTTTTATTCCCTATTCTTCTACAGCTGTCGCTTCTTCTGTTCCGTCTACAGCTGTAATTTCTGTACCT